AATATTGACATCTTCAACAATAACAACAAATGAAAAAACACCCTGAAAACAACAATTATCAAGTTTAGAAATTGACAACTAAATGAAAACAACGAAGTTCAGTTGTACGAAAAGACAAGCCGTAACAGTAATAGAACCTATCTACACGTATTTCATCAATCTTTTCTTCAAGGTGTACCAGAACCATTCCAAGACCTCCGACCAATGCCCCCCGGCCAGGAGACTGGTAGGCCCTACCGCCAACGTATCAGGTCATTCCTGGAGAAACTGAAAGCCAAGGTCGCCGAGAGGAAGGCAGAAGCATCCCCCGAGAAGAGAAAGGGCGGAGACAGGGCAAGGGCTCTTAGGGCCAGGATGATGATGAGACTCGCAGCAGCTAATGGTGAGTTTCCTCGAGGGGAGAGATCTACGACTGTGTTCTACGTCACCGCCTCTCTATTTGAGATCTAAGATTGTAAAGTATCATTAATTGTGTCCTAGTCACGTACCTTTCTATTTGAAATCTAAGAAAGCGCAGTACGTAACTTCTGTCTTTGGGATCAAAGATAGTGTGTTACGTCACTTCTGTATATTAAGATCTAAGAATGTGTATTACATCACAAATATTTGAGATCTAAGACTGTGTACCGAGCCACTTGAATATTTGTGTACTACGCCTCTTCTGAATTTGGAATCCTATATTGAGTACTGCGTCACTTCAATATTACGTCACTTCTGTATTTGGGATCAAAGATTAGAAAGAAAGGAATAACTTGTATACAATGTATTTCGTTTATAGGCGCTCCAAATCCCATGATGGGACCTGGCCCCGTGATGGGACAAAGCCCGATGATGGGACCAAGTGTGATGGGACCGTATCCCGCAATGGGTCAGAACCCATTGGTGCAAAATCCCATGATGGGACGACACCCAATGATGCAAAACCCAATGATGGGGCAACATCCAATGGCCCAGAATCCAATGATGGGGCAACATCCAATGGCCCAGAATCCCATGGTGGGACGGCATCCAATGGCACAGAACCCCATGATGGGACCACATCCAGTGCCACAGAATCCCATGATTGGGCAAAACCCGATGATGCAAAACCCCATGATGGGACCACGCCCCATGACACCTCGTCCCCCACTGCAAAGACCCGGCATGCTACCTCCTATGGCCCAGAGAACCCCTGGTTTGCCGACGAGTCCTTCTGATCCACGTAGCCTGAACGGACAAAGTAGGTTTTTGCATTAAGTCATTAAGTCTCTTTCCATTACTATGGTAACATCTCCAGGGTAGTTCGACTGACTTTCACTTTCACCATCGACCCCTCGTTTTCTTTCTTGCTGAAATATTTGGTTAGTGTAAATGTCGATCCCCTATTCTTAGAATTTGTTAAAAGCGCCCTTTTCGCATGTCTTCACACTGGCCCTGGGTGTGTGTAGTAGGTGACAAGAAAGCTAAAAGCGAAGGCATCAAGTTTACATCTACCAGTTTTTCTGCTCCATCAAAGAAGACTGTTCCAAACTTTTATATTAAGAGCGTTCAGTTGTTTTGGTTTTCAGCCATATTTTTTTTTTCGATTTGTTTGAGAAAATACACTCGGGG